CTAAAATTATTAGGCTGATAAGGGACATACCTAGAACTGTAATTAGCATACAGAAGTTATTACAAACCAAAATACAAATAACCCAGCTAAAATGGGCAATGTAAGTGAATAGAAATTATTCCAAAATGACACACAATTAGCCATGAAGGTGTCACCATCACCACTCATTAGGAAAATGCAAAAGCCAGAAGAAAAGAAAACCTCAATGCGATAGCACTTAACATCATTAGCATAGTTACATTTAAAAATACCCACAATAAAATTGGAATGTTATACAGGCGTGTGAGCACATACAATGTTGTAGCTTCTTGGGAAAACAGACAGTTCCTTAAAAAGTTGAACAAGTTACCACTGGAAGTGGCAATTCTACCTCTAGGCACAAAGCTTCAAATTTGACCATCATCACACAAAATCTTGTACAACACTGTTCACAGTGGAATCATTTGAACTAGCCCCAAAGTGGAAATAACCAGCGTCCATCCTAAGCCCCCATATTATGTCTCTTTCCATAGACGTCATTCTAAAAGCTTGATCACTTAACTCAGTTTCTAGCACTTCGTCTCTCCTGGAGTGTGGGGGTGTTTGAGGTTGAAAGTTCCAAGGTTCTTCTCTCTTTACATTTGATGTGAGCAGCCTCCATCCTGAATATCTGAAAGCCCATCAAGTCACCTCATTAAAACAGAAAATCCTGCATCAGCAAGGAGAATCTAGGGATTCAGCAGCTGTGTCAGGAGCCATGGTCAAAGACTAAGTATTAAAATAGAAAAGCTGCTTCTAGGGCTCTCCTCACAAAGGAAATTAAAGATCTTTTTGGAGCTCTGTGCCAGTAATATCTTTAAAAAATGCATTCTAGTAAAATTAAGCACCTCTTTGATCTATGAAGGAATTCATGTGTTGGGCAACATCCCATGAACTGGCAGAGAGCGCCCCGCAACTGTACAAAATGGAAGCTGTGTAGACAGGAGGGGAGGAGATGAGGAAAGTGGCTTGTTTCTGGCAAGGTGATCTTTCCCAGGGCAGGGAGGTGTCGTCCAGGCAGTTCCCTGTTTTGGATATAACAGACTGACTGGGTCAGGTTAAGTTCCTGGAGAGACTAAAACTGCAGTAAACATACACACTAAGTCTTAGTTTGGTGACTTGTGGTGTTATGTGTGACTGAGGGTTACCCATTGGCCCCAACCTATTAGGACATGCATGCTCTAAACAGGGTGCATTTATATGTTGCACAAAAGCAAAGAACACTGGCAGTGTGGAAAATATTTACTAGAATGAATGTGCATAGAGAAAAAAGACAAGAAAGGATATTCTTAAGAGTATAACCCGTGTCTTCATGGGGTATACTGCCAAACAGGGTTGACCCAAAAGCCTGCTGCATGTTTCTTCTGTGGAGGAACCACAGGAAGGAGCTCGCAGTTCCCAGAGACCTGGGATAGAGAGGGGGGAGGAACATGGAAAATACAGCACATCAAGGTAACGACTGCCATTGTGTCTGCCAAGGAGGAGGCGCAGCCTCGCAGGAATCTGTCACCAGGTGTGTCTTCCAGGCACCTCCCCTCCAAGTCCATGGGGCAAGTTGAAGGGGAAGAAGAAAGAGGGAGAGGGGCCGCCTGCTTCTGTGTGATATAGACCCAGGGGGCCACTCAGCACCCCTCGTTCCCAGCAGTGCCTCTTGTTAGGAAGTCTGGTTCGGGGGCTACTGGGACTTGTCATCCAAGGGGGCTCATCTGAGCAGGGGCAGGGAGAAGAGAGCTTCCCCTGCACACACGGGCACTGTAACTTTAGCACAAAAGACTTTATAGTGCGCCTGTTGAACACTTAACATCACAGCACATTTACAACCTCTTTTCCCTAATCTCTCTTTTATTAGTTGACCATGTAAGGCCCTCCCTAAAGAGCCTATGATGAGTAAAGGAAAAGACTTTCTTGCCTCCGCTACACAGGAAACCCCAGTGTTGGTTGTTATTCCCAGAGGCCAAGTGTCTGGACCCACTTCTGGAGTCTCAGAGCACTAGAAAGTGAGAGACCCCACCTTCCCGCTCTGGATGCACTCAGACCGTCCCCGAGCTCATCTCCCCTCTAGGGTCCTGCAGACCTAACTTAGGGATGGTCTCCCTCCTCCGGGCAGGCCAAGTATAAAGTGCTCACAGGAAATGCTGTTCCCGTCAGCATTTAGATTCTGAATAACAACAAAGAAAATTGATAGTCCTTCAGATAAGGAAATTAAAAACTAGTAATTCTTTGCAAACTGTAATGAAAAATAGAGGGAAAACTAGAAATTGTTTTGCAATGTCTCATCAGCCATTAATTCCATTCCTGTACTTTTATTTCCTGTTCCTTAGTTTTCACTGATAGGAGTTTAACTTGGAATTTTAAAAACTTGTTGAGGGGCCTCCCCTGGTGGGGCAGGCAGTTCAGTGCAGTGCTGTGAAGCTGTTGGCAGCCTCTGCAGCACCGATTCAATTCCGGCCAGCCAGCAAGGGTCCCACATGGCGAGCAGATCTCTCCGTGGCGCCCGCTGCTCCCCTCAGCAGTGTATTTCGTCAGTCTGCCTGTTCTGTTCCCCGCTCCATCTCTGTTGAATCTTCTCACCCTCCCACGCCTCTGGCCTGTACCCCAGTTCTTGTATAAATGAATAAATAAATCTTGGAATTAACCACACCCAAAGGCCCATGTCTTGTTTTATGACTCGAGCTTTGTGCCTGAGCACTTCTCGCAACTGCCTGAGAACACAGCCTCAATATTACGCTTTAGCAACTGAGGTCCAGGTGAGTGGTGTAACTTGTTATCTTAGTAGTAAAATCAGAAATTGGATATAAGTCAGACTTTGTGTTGGAAGTTGGGAAAACTTATTTTAATCTCCACGTAGTACCTTCATCAGACCCAGCATGTGCATCTCACTAAAACAGGCACTCAGAATGTTAGCAACATGTAAAAACAGCCAACCCCACACATTTCCATCATGCTCAGAGAGCAGGTATGGGAGGGCAGAGACAATGGGGGAGGACAGCGGGAAGGAGCAGTCTGCAGCCTTGAGCCCCTGCCTGCGGCCTGGAGTAACGAGGCAACACCCGCTTCCAAGAATTGGACACATTGGCTCAGTTTCTTTGTCATAAGAAACTCAGGATAAACTCAAAGACTTTAGCATATTCCCTTAGCCACATGCTCACCAACACGCCACACATTTTCCTGAACAGTCATCTCTTTGTCTCTTTGTTCCTGGTGAAGGGACTTTCTAGGGTGAAGGACCTGCAGTGTTTTCTGCACGTCCCATTCTAGGGGCTGATAATTCCTTCCCACCTTGGAAGTCCCAGAAAACCAGTGCACAGACTCCTCTTCAGGTTGGTGATGCCTGGGGCCTGAGGGTCTAGTCTAGGCTAGAAATGGCGGATGAGAATCAGTTCTCCAGAATCTGAGGTGTGGAGCCTCTTGTGGGACAAAGAAGAGAGAGCGATGAACGACGGGATTGAGACTCTGACAGACCTGGCACCTGGGTGTGGGGAAAAGCTTCGAGGGGGAATGGGAGGCCCCATCTCACACTCCCAGGAGCTCTCATGGATCTTCTCAGAATCTGAACAAGAAAGTGCTCCCAAAGTCACCACCACCTGGAACAGTAAGCTAGTTAGGAAAGTACTGGGGTGTCAGAAAAGTCATGACACATTTTCTAGGGCCATCTGCTGCAAAAATGCATCATGACTTTTCCAACACTCAGTATCTCCTTAGGTTCTGTGACCTTTTCCTGAAAATGATGGAACTGGAAGAGGAAGTCAAAGGCACCTTTGATTAATAGCCAGTTAGTCAGAAGCACAGGTGACAATGTGGGCTTGTGACAGGTGTGAGGCCGGGGGTGGGGTTGGAGACTGTGTGGCACTGAGCCCATATCCTGGGGGTCGGGGGCTCTGTTGGAACTCCATTATATCAGATTTGAATTGGATTGTGAGACACTCAGGTCGGTGGAGAAAACTCACACATCAGGAGAGCAGAGTGAAGAGACGTGGTGTGAACGGGGTTGCAGCAGAGAGGAAGGAGAAGCAGGAAGTTTTCCTGGACACACGTGTACCCCTATTACTCACAGGAACTCAGAGACTAGGAACACAGGTGGTGTTTAGAACTGAAGCTCATGGAGAAGCTAACTAATGAGCAGTAGATTCTTAGAGAAGTGACAGGACAAAGAGAGATGAATTTCTAGATGGGGAGTTATGGGAAGGCAAAGATATGGGGCAAGTGATGGAAGACAAGGGCTAGTGTTACCTGCTCTTTATGTGTGTGCCTGTAGTGCTGCCTCAGGGTCTAGATGTGTCTCTAGGTATTCACTTCTATCCCTCCTCTTTGGCAAACAAGGGGAGGGCCAAGAGCTTCTCTTGTACATTTTTTGACACAACTGCCTTTGGCCCCAAATAATTTTTATGCCAAAGTGGGATGATAGGGCATGCTCCTTTCAGGATGAGATATTCAGTAACCTCTGTCCTCACATCCTCCCAAACACACAGCGCTGCTGCTCCACGAGCTGTGTGGAATAAACTGGTTGTTGTGAAGTGGGAACAGTATTTCTCCTTTCTTAGTTAACTGAGGTTGACAGGAACCAACCTCCTTCACTTCATACCATTGTTGGAAATTCAGTAGATGTCTTTTCTGCCTAGTAAGAAAAAAACAATATGTTCTCTTTCTGTGCATGTAATTTTCATGTATAAACCTGGGCCCAAAACTTCAGATGAGTGACCAGTCAGTCTCTCAAAGAAATCTGATGCTGGTCTCCTGAGCCCAGTCTTCAGTTTGACTAAATAATCTCTTCAATAAAATTTCTCTTCTACTAGAAGTAAATTTGCTTCATAATAATAATTCTCTCAGTTAATGTGCCCATCATGTCAGTGGTGAAAAGAAATACTATTTTTGGTGTCCTGCTCTTCTATGCAGCTTACAGATACAATGCAGCTTCCTTCATCTGCACGGGTGACTCTGCTGGTATCAAACACAGTGGGAGCACTCAGCCCTCCAGATGTCTGGTCACCCTGCTGGTCAGACCAGGACCCTTGGAAATCAGAGATCTGAACCCACGATGGAGAGGGTGATGCATGATCGTTGCTGGGCTCTCACTTCCCCGCAGGTCAGGCTGATCTTCTGTGGTGTCTGTATAGTGGCTGTTTCTACTCATTTATTGCACATCATTGAGTGTCCACTGAGAACTCAGCACCGATCCAGGTTAGGGGAAAGAGCAGCAAGGGAAACAGATCACATTGCTTTGCCAATAGAACTCACATTATATTTCTATAATGGTTAAACAAAAGAGACTGTTCCTAACAAGACTCCAATGGTGTAGGGAGGAATAAAGAACAACGATTTACCTGGAAATAAGGTCGAAGAATATCAGAGAAGGTATTTGGTAAGTAACCAGTAAGTGCAAGTCATATCCTTGAACTTATTTGAAGACATAATGGCCTTGCCATGCAAGCACTAAGGGGTGCCTTCTAGAGCTGATAGTGTTCTAGAAGATGAACAATCTTCTTTTTCCTCTTCAACAATCAGGAAAAAGCCAGGGTCATATGCCGCGGACCAGCACAGCAGTAGACGATGAGGCCGTCTCAGGGTTGAGAGAAACGCGCAGGGTGGTCAGGGAGTCGGCGAACAAAATGACAGACAGACACACTTCAAGAGAGAGTGTAAATCTGAGTGTAATTCTCTTTGAGTTTGTGACCAGTATATAAATGTTTTCTAAAAGCATAGGAACAGTGAATAGCAATGAAATCAGCTTGCTCATGGGTTTAGCTTATCACTGACAGGGCAGTGATTTACATCTAACCTCATTCCTAAGTAGATAGACCATTAGTTTTGTTTTTAAACTATGTAATTGCATTTTTTGTTTTATTAACTACTTTTTCACCTAAACTATATTTTAATTATTACAGGGTTTAGTAATGTTTCATTTGAGTCAGCCTTGTGTTAAGGATTTCATATGATTTTTTTAATTAACAACCAATGACCTTTATAGAAGAAAGAAGGAAGTTTAGAAAGACAATAAGGGAATAAAATTTGTAGTTCTAGAAAGACGAAATAAGGTTTTTTGTAGTAGCATTCTTGTAGTGGTTCCTGGTGGTCCTTATCTTTTGATAAGCATCTGTCTTATCTATGTCTTCAGGGAACTTTGCTGTACTTCCCTGCCCGCTGGTTCCTTGCTCAGCCGGACCTAGGGACCGTGGCGAAAGCCATTAGCCCTAAAGGTCACTGCAGGGGGAGTGCAGCAGGTCCCCCTTTGTTTTTAGAACAGAGCTGGAAGGCGTACATATCTCGTTGAAGACTATGGATGGACCTGTGAAGGGAGCGAACGCAGAGGGGAATAATAAGACAAAGGAGAAGGACAAGTAGGGAAAGAGCAATGAAAGAGAGGACAAGATGATACCAATGAGTAGGAGTCAGAGTTTGGAGGGTAGAAGCCAGAGAATGGGCAAAGGAAGAGACTGAAGTGTCCAGATGAGACTTACTGACAGTAGAAATTTCAGCTTGGAGAGACGAAAGGTCATGAGAAAGGTCATTGTCATGCCAGATGCCCAATAGGTGATTTTTTCTTGAGATTCCAATGTAAGGAAGAGTTATAATGTAAAGACGTAACACAAATGAAACGAAACTGAACATGGCAATGAGTAGACAGTTGTTGTTTAAGAAGTTGAACCTCATTGCCAATAGCAATAACAATTTCTTTCAGAGCATTTAACTTTCTTTCTAACTTATAGTCAATGTCCCTCTGTGTTGCAAGCGCCATGGACACGTTTTTGGTAAGGTCATTTACAAAAGAAGCCGTCTTAGCTTCCTGAATTAAAGCAATGGAGGAAGCAGCCAATGAAGTAACCAGGGAAATCAGAGCAGCAATGCTAGAATAAGGGTAGCAATAAAACGTTTAGGACGAAGAAGAGCATGTACTTCATCTAAAACTTGCATGGCAGTATTATCATACCAAGGCATATCATGTAAATCAACAGGTAACATAACATAGTAGGGTCTTTTGAGTAAGGTTACAACAGAGTACAAACGAGCGAGAGAAGGGGTAATACAATTAGTAACAATGCAACCGGAACAATGAATGGAGTAAGAAGTCCCACGCGATTGAATGCGTGTAGCTGAGGCCTTACCCAAAAGCAGAGCAAAGGGGTATCCAACGTAGGCACGCACTGGGATCTTAGCGGTGTCCTGTCCAGGTTGTTTGAAGTGTACATCATTAAAGGCAGTGAAAAGACTAAAGAGTTCAGGCTTTATGACAGAGCTTTTTGTCCAGGGAATCGGGTTATTCAGTTCTGCCAATGGAGGCAAGCTTTTTCATCATTTTCAGAGGTCTCTGGAACCCTACCAACAAAGCAGCAGTTTCTCCACATTTTAGTTTAGCTCTGTGTCAACTCCCTGGAAGAATTGTACTCAAAGCCACACAAAAGGTTAGCTCTGCTAGAAAAAGAAAAAAAAAATATATGTATATATATAACATTGCTGTAGAGTGTGGTCAGTCAAAACAAGAAAACTTTGTTGAATCAAGGCAAAATGTAAAAACATTTTCAATGTTATGCCAAACAAAACAGTAAAAATCAGGTGTATTTCCAACAGTCTATACAGTCCTTTGTAGAAAAATTTTTACTCTCAAAAGTTTATTATTTTTAATCAATTGAGGCCTTTTCTTTTTATTTTGTGTAGAAACAAGTCCTGCAGATATTATTGAAAGATTTTGTTTTGGAAAACCAATGTTAACATTTTTGTACATATTAGAGTTTTACCATTTTTCCAAGTGACAGTGATTCCCTTGTAGTGTAATTTACCAGGTAAACCAGATAGGACAAATTTATCTAATGTTCTTCCCAGGAGGAAAAGGAGAAAGTTTGTGGAGTGTCTCTAAAGCCAGCTGCTGAGGTTCCACAAAATCTCCTTTAACCGATTAAATGACAGGCTACCAAATTTTACTTTAATTTAGATTTTTGGGAAGCTGTGTCATAAATACTTAGAAAACAGCAAAAACAACCATATTTAATCTCTATAAAAATTCTAGCCCTAAGTGTAATATTGACAATCAAATCATAACCTTTAATTGTCATTTTAAAAACCTTAGTTTTTCAGACACTAAAAGACATTATGTACCCAACATCATTAACCTAGACAAGGGCCAAGATTATACCCAATGTTAGTGTATAAGTCCATGTTTTGAAACAACCCATTAGATTATAACTCAGTTATTATTAACCAAAAATTATTTCAGCTAATGTGTTCCCAAAAACACTAAAATAATATAAATCATTTGAGTGTACAAAATTTCTTTTTGTAAAATTCCTTTTTGAGATTTTCAACACTTTCCTTAGCTTTGTTACTTTTAATTCTTTTAGACCTTCAACATTTGCTTTAACACTTATCACTTTACTTTTAGGACCATTAAAATATCTATTTTTAATACATGTTTTTCTTTGTAAACACACATTTCACATTACATCGATTTAGGATTGTCACATCTTTCATTAGCAGTAAGGCATTATAATACATTATAATACTGTCCTCTCTTTGTACTAGATAACTTAAATGTGAACACACAAGGTAATATGACATTAGAATTTTCAGCTTTCACAAATAGGTGCAAAAAGTAAACCTGAAAGTTTAGTTGTAGCTTTAGTTTTTGTTATGACTGGAATTCCATTTTGCATGGCTGTTAATAACATAATGGCACATACCTAGGTTTTTCTAGGCTGGCTAATAAAGAAGCAATTAGGCAAATCAATAAAAAAAAAAATCAGAGCACCATATAGATACTATGTACATTTTTCACATGCATGTGACTCAGTAGGAAAGACAAAAGTATCTTTTATACCAGAAATTTCTTTTGAAATAAACACATTTAAGCAAAGTATTAATACTTAACATAACTTTAAGGCATATATGCTTTGAATTATATCATAAAATTTAAACTAGTTTTTGTTTATTAAAAAATTGTTTGATCAAGATCTTAAGATTTGTTTTATGATAATTTATAAAGGCGCCGTCTATAATTAGTCCTCCAGAGGTAAAAAAAAAAAACAAACACAAAGAAAGACAAACAGATACAGAGATCTCTTGATATACATTTAAAATTTTGGCCATGTGCATATATTTTGAAATATAGTTATTTTACCAATATGTGTGAAGATACTGAGGTTTTTAATGAGTTAACAGCTAAAATCTGTACACAGAATAAGTGTCTAATCTTAATTATTACCAAAGACCTTGGGCTCGAGACCACAGCAGTCACGGCAGTTTTTACTAATTTTTTTGATAATAAATATTTTTGGAGTTTACATTTTTAAGAAATGATTGTTTGGCTTTAGGTTGTTAATACATTATCTCACTGGGAACAGTCATATTTTAAAACATAAAAGAATACTGTTATCTTGAGAACAGGAGAAAAGGTAAATTTTTACAGTCTGCCTGTAAAATTTGAGGTTTAGAATTTAGCTCAAAAATGTCTGTATCATCAATTTATGTTTTGCCAGGTTAGTTTGTTTTAACAAGAAACTTAATCTTTTACAGGTCCAATAAGTAAAATTAAAAGCTTTTATTCAACCAGTAAGCATTCTGTATAGCTTGTTAGCACGTCAAAAGTAACTCAGCAGTTTTTGCCTAAGACAATTTAGACTTTAAAATCAGAGAAACACAGGGAAATGGAACTTTTTTTTTTTTTGTAGAATGAACCAAAATAGTTATTTAAGGTGGATAATAGAAAAGTTCAGTCCTCCACAGCAGGAAGGTAGTAGAGACCTGTCAGTGATCCCAACACCAGAGAAAAAGTCCAGGCAGCTGCTTGTTGAGATCAAGGGCAGCTCCCACCAGCCCACTGCAGTGGGTTTATACTATTTTAATAAAAACCTTTTATTTATATTATAGTCATATAGTCTCATACACTCATATTTAACCATTTTTTATCACTTTAACAATTGTGAATGAACTTTGAATACTATTATTTATAAATGCCTTATTTATTTATTTATTTATTTATTTATTTTAAAAGAAACAAATGGCAAAACTCCACCAGGGGGAACCTAGCCTCCTCCCCAAATAATTAACAGGAAAAGATTGGAGCATTTTTTTGTTTCATTTAAGATCATGACACATAATCTCTTATTTGTTTTTGAGTTTTTATTTTTATCTCAACAATTTTAGCCAAGTCTGAGCTGGAAATTTGGGCTGGATTTTGGAATGGTCTCATAATTGGGAGCCGATACCTCTGCATAGAGGTCAGTATTGGCTCTAGAATCAACTTTTGGCTTTTGAAAAACAATTTCACTATCCCAAGAATCCTGATCACTTTCTCTAATACTGCAGGCTATTTTTTCTTTTACCTTTTGTTTTGCATCTTTCATTTTGCCTCCAGCCAGGCAAAAACGACCTATCTGTTCAGGCAATTGTTTTATTAATAAGGAGCTGTCAGCTGAGTCCTCTTTGATGTTATTTAGGGGTACAGACAGCCATAAGTTTTTGAGTTTTTTTATTTATTTTCTCTAATTCAGACCCTTGATCTAGTGCCGCGGGGGAAGCATTTAAGCAAACTTTAATGTAATCTTGAAGTGTACCAGTTTTTTTTATATAGGTTTAATTAGTTCTTTACAGAGGGAATTAGCATTTTTCCATGCAAGCTGTTTAAACAACAAATCTCGTGCTCCGGAAGATGGAAGAACCTTATTCAGAGCATTTTGTAATCTGGCCACAAAATCCTGGTACATTTTATTCTGGCATTGGTGTATATTAGTAAGGTTAGTGGGTTTATGTTTAGGTGAAGGAAGATTTTTCCATGTCACTATAGACAATTTATTAATTTTGATTAAGACATTTTTTGGTAGGGCAGTCTGTCTGTGTACTTAATATATTTGTTTGTTCCCTTGAACATAGAAAGGGAAATTTTTTCAGCCTTGACCTTATTATTGTGTTTTTTAAGGAAGGCATGTACTTAGTCCTCATATTTCATGTGAAATAATACATACATTCCTGAAGGAAGAACAGTCTTGGCAGGATTATGCCAGTCATAAGGGGTTATCCAAATGGCCGATAGCATGTCAATAATTTGATAAGTATAAGGGGAGTTATGACCTGTTGTCTGAACAGTTAACTGTAATTTTTTTTTTTTTTTTAGAGTTTTTATGGGGATGGCCTCCCATGTAGGGCCTTCTTCATCAGCGCAAGTTAAGGTCGGAGGTCCAACAACAGGAAAAGTAAATGAAAAGTCTCCCGTTTTTGTTAGTCTCTTTTGCTGATCCTAGAATGCCACCTAATGGCCCTCTTACAGGCAGAAATGGTATTTAATGTTTTAGATTTGGTAACAATTGGAAAAAGATTAGTGGTTGGGCGGGAGGGTTTATCATTTTTGAAAGTTAATTTATCTAACATTTCAGTATATTCATGATCATTAAGCTCATCCTCCGAGTGGGGAAGGGGTTCCTCTAATGTGGGAATGGAGGCTTGAGCAAGTAATGGTGTTGTTTCTAGGTTTTTGTTGTTTTTAAGATTATCTTGAATCTTTTTTTGTTGACTATCCCACAATTCTGCCTCAGTGGTGTCAACCAACAAATTTCTAATTTGTACCCACAAGGACAAATCCTACGTTGGGACTGAGACGGCCCATGAAGGGCATAAAATTCTTTTACTTCCTTTCCTACTTTTTCCAGGTTTCTAGTGATAGACTGCCTCCTTCTGGAAACCACGGGCATACCCGTAATATAAATTCATAAAGTTGCAGTAGAGCTTTCTTATTTACTTTAATACCACGTGTTTCAATCATATTTTTTAATATAGATAGAAAAAGATCTCTGTTTTAGGTCTGTAATTGACCCATGGTCTCGTGGTGCTTTTGTTCACTCAAGCAAAGATTTCTTTCAACTGTGCTGTCCAGCCCGTGTCCCTCGCGGGAACTTGCGGAGGCGTCTTAGCTAAGGTCTGTCTGTATAAATCCCGGACTAGGCTGCTCCGAAGAGCAGATGACCGTTATGCCATATGACGTTCCTCCATGGGAATCGCAGGTGCAGCCCACTCAGTCTCCATAGCCACGAGGCCGTGGAGCCGTAATCATACACTCTCACACACACACAGCACCACGAGCATTCACACTTAGAAAAACTTCTCACTATCTCAAACTGATCACCCTTTATCAGCGAGCTCCGGACGCTCCAGTGAGGATCCTATCCCTGACTGTTTAAAAGAGGGTATATTTAAGGGAATCACATTCACACTCACACACAAGGAGGGAGATAGCTTACCCAACACGATCTCTTCATTACTCACCTCTTCTTTGGGTGGAAATTCAATGAAATGCAAGGTCGGGCCCCACGTTCGGGCGCTGCTTGGCGCGGACCAGCTCAGCAGTAGACGATGAGGCCGTCTCAGGGTTGAGAGAAACGCGCAGGGTGGTCAGGGAGTCGGTGATAGAAATGACAGACAGACACACTTCAAGAGAGAGTGTAAATCTGAGTGTAATTCTCTTTGAGTTTGTGTCCAGTATATAAATGTTTTCTAAAAGCATAGGAACAGTGAATAGCAACGAAATCAGCTTGCTCATGGGTTTAGCTTATCACTGACAGGGCAGTGATTTACATCTAACCTCATTCTTAAGTAGATAGACCATTAGTTTTGTTTTTAAACTATGTAATTGCATTTTTTGTTTTATTAACTACTTTTTCACCTAAACTATATTTTAATTATTACAGGGTTTAGTAATGTTTCATTTGAGTCAGCCTTGTGTTAAGGATTTCATATGATTTTTTAATTAACAACCAATGACCTTTATAGAAGAAAGAAGGAAGTTTAGAAAGACAATAAGGGAATAAAATTTGTAGTTCTAGAAAGACGAGATAAGGTTTTTTGTAGTAGCATTCTTGTAGTGGTTCCTGGTGGTCCTTATCTTTTGATAAGCATCTGTCTTATCTATGTCTTCAGGGAACTTTGCTGTACTCCCCTGTGCGCTGGTTCCTTGCCCAGCCGGACCTAGGGACCGTGGCGAAAGCCATTAGCCCTAAAGGTCACTGCAGGGGGAGGTGCAGCAGTCATAAGTCCTATAATCATTATAATTGAATTCTGCCCAGTATCAGAGTCAGCTTGGAAGTGGATTATTCCCCAGTCTAGCCTCCAGATGGGAACAGAGCCCAGCCAACACATTCATTGCACTCTGTAAGGCCCTAAGCATAAGTCCTGGCTGATGTGAGCCCCACATATCTGAACTACAAACCTCTGAGATAATAATATGTGTGTTGTTTTAAGTGACTGAATATTTTTCCAGCCATGGGGAATCGTTTCAGCTTCATTCAGATTTTACAGCCAAAGGAATTATTAAAACAATTTAGCTTGAATTTTTTAATTGTGGACATGTGGAGCATGGCAAGTACTAAATAAGAATTAAGGTTTTGGGTTTGCTAATACTAGCTTTCATTAAGATTCAACTATTTATGGTGTCATAATCCATTTTCTTCTTAGTCCTGAATACTGATATATCTTTCTTAAACATCACTTGATGTTAAATGTTAACAATAAACATCATGATGAGGATTGTTCTAAACACTTTACACCTGCTGTTGCATTTGATTTTTATGAAAGCTCACTGAATTAAGGTCTGTTCATACATTTATTTTCAGAATGGGAAAATGAGGTAGTGGTTGGCCTGGTTGATACAGCAAATCAATGGGAGAGGAGGAATTCGAAGAGCCTGAAGAGAGAACAGTTTGCCACTTCCCTGTCTACACCCAAGGGAGCTTGTTCCTAACCCACTGAAAGCAGCTCAGCAACCTCTCTGCCTACGAGTCTGAGCAGGACAGGTAGGAAGCTTGGCTACCACTTAAGGGGCCTTTCCTGTGAAACATTAAGGCAGTTATTTGATTCACATACCTCGGAAGAACTTAAACACTTTCTTCAAATAAAAGTAAAGCTCAGAACCATTGTACACGGTTTGAGGGTCCAGAGAGAGGTCCTCTGGTGTTTTCAGCTTCACATCTGGTTGCCTAGAATAAACCGACAACAGACCTTGTGCAGTAGACGTTCCATTCAGCTCTGGACCCCTCACATCCTCACATCCCCTAAACCATGTGTTCAGACAGACTTACCTTTCCAATGTGTCTTTCACACTCTACAGTGAAAACAAAGACAGAAGGTAAGTGTGGGAAAATCAGTATGTCATGTCACTTCACACAGGGGGTTACTTGTTATGAACACTCCACCCCAGGAAGCAGAGTGACCCAGCCTGAGACACCCACGCATACCCAGGTAGAACGATTCCCGTCCCCGTCCCCTAGGATAGTCCCTGCCAGTGTGTGTGAGTGTGTGATCGCACTTGCTCAGGCTTGTGGGGAGTCATGCAGACTGCATTCACATCAGCCTGTGACCTCAGGGACTTGATCATGTTACCTTTTGCTTTAAGTGACCTAATTTGTTTCTGAGGAGCCCATATCAGAGATCACTGATGACAAAGGTCCTCAGTAGTGAATCCTTGCCCAGACCCTGGCACTGGGCCACTGAGGTGGAGGCAGCCGGTGTCACCTGCTGAGGGCGCTGTCACGCTACATCCTCACCTTCACAGTGTAACTACCAGTCCTGCAATAGCAACTGGATTCCAGGCATTTATGTTCACCTGCTGGAAGCTTCAGGCAGCTGAAAGGAGGTCCCATAAGAGCTTATGGCCCAAGACAATAAGTGAATCAGGAGAAGGTTACCATTATTTTGGCTGCCTCACTCTATTCAAGAGATGGTTAGAAGGGGTCCATGAACAGTTGACAGGGGCAAATAAATGGCAGGAAGTTTTGCTGTGGTTCCATAAAAACAGGAAACCATCACATCTACCCAGAGAAAGTTTAAATTTCTGATACACCTGCTGACCCCAGGACCTCCAATGCTGCCAGCAGATATGGATATAGATTTTAAACAATGTGTCTTTAATTTTGGTGCCACAATTAAGTGAAGTAGACAGGTCTCAGAAATCTTCCCATGTTCCCTCATTGTTCTCCACTCAATAGTAGGGAGCAGATTAAACTTCTTTTCTGTCCAGAAGTTCACAGCCTCTCTTACCTGCCGCAAATTCAGGGCTGATTCTTGACATTTCCTCTCTAATTTCAGCATAAGGCTCTCAAGTTCCAAGCTCTGCTCTACCAGACTGGCTTCACCTTCCTGCCATCTCCTCAGCAGCTGCTCTTTCGCTTTCTCCAGTCTCCTTTCCTCTTCATGGAGGGAGTTGAGGAGATTCTGTAAATCAGACTGCATTTCTTCTCTCCGAAGCTCTATGTTCTCCTAGATTCAAGAAAGTAGGCAGAAAAGGGGGAAACAATCCAAATGTACCTCTATGGTGAGTCAGTAAACACAGGTGTGACTGAGACACAGTGCAAATCTGCTCACCCCTGGGAGGAAAGAAAATTGTAACATGTGCCCAACTGGCCATGTATTGAAGATTCATGCAGAAGGACATGAGCCAAAGAGGAAAAATGAAAGACCGTATGAGTCTTCTCATATGAGGTCCTAGTCAAATTGAGAAACAAATGAAGTAGAATGGTGGCCGCCAGGAGCTGGGAGGAGAGAGCAATGGAGTTATTGTTAATGGACATGGAGTTTCTGGTTTTAATGCTGAAAAAGTTCTGTAGATGGAGAGTGGCAACGGCTGGAAAACAATTGAGCACAATGCCACTGGGCTGCTCACTTAGAAATGAGTAATATAGCAATGATAGGTAAGGTGTACTTAGCGCAAACACCTCAGAAAAGTTTGCTTAGCTTCTGTGGGTCATTTTCCCATGGGCACTGGAGCTCAAAAAGTGTCCAGCTCCCTCTGCAGAGTCCAGCCCATGAGGCAGACACTCAGAAGTGGGAAAGCTGATCATAACTATGTTGGCACCTCATCACTTTCCTTCATCTCATCCAAGAGATAAAAGAAGAGGGTAGGAATCGCAGAATCATGAAATTTGCCTAGATCAAAGAACTTATCATTTGTAAGATAAAACCAAGCGTTACTGGGGATGTAAGAAGCTATCTATATGTGTGTGTGTTGTGGGTAGATATCTTCAAATAAAGGCTTGTAACGAATGTAAATGAGTCTGAATTTAAAACAACACACTGGTAGGAATCTATGATTCTCAACTCGGGGAGGTCTGGATAGTTACCAGAAATATTATTGCCTTCAGCCCAAATTCAATTATCATCCTTATGGATGAGACTAAGAAAAATGCTGAGATACTCGGTTTTCTCTGGGGAGGACAGAGTGTAATTTCCATGGGTGCTTTCTCAAGTCACACTGTGCTTCAGTGACTATGGTGTTGTGGTGGAAGTTGTGGCACTGCATGGTTTCTGTATATGGTGTGTAGCAATAGTTCTCCCCACTACCCGAGATTCCAGAAGGGAGGAGACAGAGGCAGTTGCAATGACTACAGTGACAGGGATCTCCACTTGCCGGTTCCTAGCAAGGCCCTCCGAACTTCTGAGGATTTTAACATGAGAATAGGAGGAGTTTATATTTCACATATGCACATCTACAAAGAATAGGACAAATGTGGGAAGAGACCCTGAAAGAGGAAAATGACTCATAAATTTGATTACTAAGGAATGGATTATGTCCATATTTCCATAAAAGAATGTGTCTCTGATCCTGCATGGTCTGGTTAGAGACCCACAGTCTGCAGTGGAAGTGTGTAAGTTCTTACAGAGCTCTATCCTCATCAACAGTCTCACAAGCTGGAGTTATGGGAGTGTCTCCTGCACTGGTCCTCTTTTTGTATTCACTAAAGTTGATATTAGAACCAGGAAGTAGAGGGTCAGACCCTGTACTGTGGTAAATGTGCCCAGGTGAGTTCATTAACTTAAGACAGGAGGTAATTTCAGTCATTGAAAACTTGAAATGTAAGGAGCACAACATTTGTGATTCTCCTGACTGAGGTATTAGGACACCTAGCCAAGTACTAGTCATAGAAACATAAAGCAGAGGAAAATTCTCCTAGATGAAGACAACTAATGGCAAATATTAAAGAAAAAGGCATACTTTGGGGTTCCACAGTTTGGTCTGATTTAAAGAGAATAAACCATCAATGAGTACTTTTCCCTATCACCATAAGCCTAAATTCTAGGCTGGAAAATAGTTTGAGATCAGGAAAATCAAATTCTTACCTCCCATTGTCTTATTTCATCTTTCCTCAACAACTCCACATTCTTACATTGGTCTAGCACTACCTTCACTTTTCTCACAATCTCCTGGAGCTTTTCCTGAAGGAAAAATTGGGTGAGTTATGGCTTGTCCATTTCACAACTCTCATTGGCACCTAGAAGAATCCCAGCCTCCAAGATGTACCATAACATTGAATATATTTTTGAGTCCTTAGGCTTTAAAAGAAGCAACATAAGGGCATTAATGTAACTCATGCCCTCAGTGGCCATGGGCAGTGGCAGGATTGTGGCATCTTTCTGTGCTGTGGGCGATCTGTGATTCCCAGCTCATCTGTGGACCACAGACTAAGCTATTTACATTACTGCAGTCTGCCAGGGACATGCTGCATAAAGTACAAGATTATAATCATCTAAAAGTAAATTTTATAAAATAATAGGCTGGACCAATCATAATACAGAGTGTTTGAAACACGTAGAACTGTTTACATGTGACCCTGAGTCAGGTAGGAGAGCCCAGGATGGCAGCTGAAGTTACAGAACCAGTTCATAGGGGAGGGGGAGCTCTGCTGTCACCTGAAGAACTGTCATGACATCAACTTAGAGTGATTAGTTTCCATACCTATCTCTAGGGTTCCTTGTCACACAGTTTCTCACGTTTTCAGCCTCTATTAAGAGATGGGGAAACCAGGTCATGAAGGCAATAACTAAGTCGCTCACACCTTCCATCTAATAACAACTGAAACTCTTACGATATTTCAGCCTCCACAGTCAGATTCCTGAGGCCACGTCCATCACCCTATGTTGCTTTTTTTTAACTACTTGGTGGGCAAGTTATGGGATCTGCCCCATCACAATGGTGAGCTGCTCCTGGGCTTACAGGGGGAGGTGAGTGCGCTGAGGGTGTCAGGACTGACACGCCCTGACACAGGATCCAGAACCTTCACACAAGACACAGGCACCTCAAGGATGAGGGAACACAGAGCCCCACTCTGGGAATTTTTCCTTCAAATGTCAACAGGGCAGAGGAGGAAGGAATCCTTCTTCCTCATTCCTGCACAGCACAGGGAGCCTCACTTTAGCAGCTCTTGTGTGAGAAACGTGGCGGTGCCTGAATATCTCAAGGCTTCAAACTCACCAATTCTTTCTAAATCTTTTAGCTGTCCTTCTTTATACTTGCTAAAGCCTGTTTCCATCCCGTTTTCTTAGAGGACTAACTTTGATTTTAGTCCTTCATGTTTATTTGTGCACCCAGAATGTTCTTTTAAATGTCAGCCTGATCTTTCCCTCCACAAATAAAATCCCAACTTTGGACCAGGATTTAGACTCTGAGAAATACCAAGGTTCCTTCTTAATTTCCTTTCTCACGGCCTCATCTGCCTTTTCCATCACACACCCCCTGACCAGGTATACCCCCTGACACGTGATGTCCCTGAGTTGGAATCCTGACTCATCTCCACACACGGTGGTTTTGTGTGTGTCCTTCTAGACTCACTTCTGGGCAGTCTCCCCCTACACTCATTCCTGCCCCTTGGTGCCCCCCTCACCACCCACACCAAGAGATGTCAGGTGTCCTGTGTTCCTTCCTCAACGTTATAATGTGGCTATCTAAAAAGTCGTGGTTCTGACCCCTGGGGTTTCATATTCTTTCCCGTGCTCTTGCAAGCTGTGGTGTCTCCAATTAAATATTCAAGGTGAGGCCATGAACGAGGCCATTGTGACAGAGAGCAAAATCTATTGTCCAGGAGAAGTTCATTACAGGAAGTTCTTACAGGAAAGGATTCTGCTCAACTTTTGAAGGTCAAGATGGACACGGGGTGGACATGTAATAAATTCAACATGGATGTGTAATAAACTAGGCAAATGAAATGGTACAAATTTATTTTAGGGTCAGTATAATGGTTTTCACTACAATTGATTGGAGTGACAATGTGCAACCTGAGAGGCGCACTTGCTAAAGACTGTGGCCACTCACCTTGTAGCCTGCATACACGTCCTCCACTAAAGCCGTGCTGTGTCCTCTGTGCTGGGGGGAGCACTCACAGCGCCAGCAGATGAGCTGCCCGTCGTCCTTACAGAACAGGTGGAGCCGCTCCCCGTGTTCCTCACACAGCCTCTCACTGTCTATCTCCCTGACAGTCTGAATGAGGTTTTCCAGTTGCTTTATGGATCGGAGACTCTCCCTTTGAAATGGTGCCCGGCACAGGGGACATTGGGGCTCCCTCAGGGATGACGTCCCTCGTGGGTTCTCAAGGATGCCCTCTATGCACCGGCGGCAGAAGCTGTGCCCACAGTGGATACTCACAGGCTCTGTCATCAGCTCCAAGCAGATGGAGCACGTGGCTTCCTCCCTCATCTTCTTGGTAGCTGTGGCTAAGGCCATGGCCCTTCCTGAAAAGCTCCAATATCAGGTTAGAGGCAGAGATGAAGTAGACAGGATTTTCCAGAGTGAAGGACAGAAGCCTCACCTGAGCCTCTGCGCCTGCACAGTTGTTGAAATCTTCTCTCTGGAGAGAGAAATGGATGCAATTTGAAAGATGCCTCACCTATTCCTCTGTGGCAGAGTAGGGTGATCCCAGTCATATTTGCCCACTTCAGTTTAGATTAAAATTCAGTAACATTTAAATCCACTGTTTCAGTCTGACCAGCCAAAATTAAATGCTTAAATGGCCAACAGGCATATGAAAAAATGTTCACCTTCACTTATAATCAGGGAAATGCAAATCAAAACTACCATGAGATACCATCTCACACCAGTGAGAATGACACATATTAAAAAAACTAGCAACAACAAATGTTGGCGAGGTTGTGGAGAAAAAGGAACTCTCCTGCATTGCTGGTGGGAGTGCAAACTGGTCCAACCACTATGGAGAGCTGTGTGGAGATTTCTGGACCTACTAAACATAGAGCTTCCATATGATCCAGCAATTCCACTCCTAGGTATTTACCCAAAGGACACAGAAACATCAATTCCAAAGAACACCCGCACCCCTATGTTTATAGCAGCACTATTTACAATAGCTAAGCTTTGGAAACAACCCAAATGCCCAAATGCCCAAAAATAGATGACTGGATCAAGAAGATGTGGTACATATACACCATGGAATATTACTCAGCATTCAAAAAAGAGAAACACACGCAATTTGCAGCAACATGGATGGAGCTGGAAGGGATCATGCTCAGCAAAATAAGCCAGAAAGAAAAAGAAAAATACCGGATGGTCTCACTCATAGCAGGAATCTAGAAAATTTAAGTAAGGGACCAGGAAAAAGAATAACTATAAGAAAGAAAATATCAAAATCAACAAACAACTATGAACCAGAGACACTCTATGGGGGTTGGAAGGCGGGGAAAGGAGGGATTGGGGTCAACATAAGGGGGTTGTAATTGTATGGGGAATATAAAAAATAAAATTTAAATAAAATGTGAAAAAAAATTAAACGCTTAACATCTGAGAATGGTCTCAGGATATCCAAGTACAGAATATTCCATCATGGGAGACAGTGACAATGCTCGGGTACTAACAGAGCTAGAAAAGGAAAGAGGTGGTTCACAAAAGTCGCAGGAGAGAAGAGAACTCAGGGAGGGAGAGTGAAACTTTCTCCATGTCTAATGAGTTTCGGGAGAGTCGGCCCTGATTACTACCTTGTCCTGCTAGCATCACTGAGGTGAATGGTTGGGGAACAGAGTACATGGGAACAATCAGCCTTGCCTCTCCTCACACCCCCATGTCTGGTTCTCTGGACCCCACCAATAACCACAAAGTAAAAGGGGCTCCAGGTTATTCAAGTTCGCATGGAGACCACATTGAGGCAGGAGAGCTGGAGAGGGTGGTAGAGAAGGTGTTGGTGCTGGGAGCAGAGTCCCTGGGCACAAGGGAGGTGACTGTCTCCCTCAAGGGGAGGACAGGTCTCCCAGGACAAGGTCAGGGCACCTGAGCTGAGGGAATTTGCAGAACCAGGATGTGGGGAGGCAGGAAGCATAGGGCAAGGCCTGTACATTGTGGCTCCTTGTCCCAGTGTCCACCAGTGTGTACCTGAGACTTGAGACAGAGGAAAAGTGTCCAGAGAAGAGGGTCTGCCCTTCCCCACAGCTGCAGCTGCTCAGGCTCCCAGTGCTGCTGCCCTCCCCTTGCTGCCATGTGTGGGGAGTTGCTGAGGGAGGAAGTGAGAGACCTTTCCTTTGCACTCACAGGGCCTGGACTAAAAGCAGATCCAAAACAAGGAACGGGATAGATTATTTCCCCCTATTTTCAGGTCTTGCTCTAAGAGCCAGAGTACGTCTCTGCAGACTGCTCTCCCGCGGAGGGGATTTCTCCCAGGGGCTGCACCTGCCTTCCTTATGCCTGGGGTTGTGCTCCTGGGGATGCCCTTCCTCTGAACCCTAGTGCCTGCCCTTCATCAGCTCACAGCCCCATCTGAATTGTGTCATGGAGTTTCCAAAGGGAAAGCAGAGGGATAGAGAGAGGTAGAAAGCAAAGTCCTGTGTAGTTTCACAGTTGGTGGAGCTCCATATTGCCACCCACCACCCACTGCATGTGCACACACACACACACACACACACACACGCAGAAATCACAGTCCACCCCAGAGCAAACCTTGGTCTGGACTTTTTCACTCCTCCTCACAGAGCAGTCAGTCACAAAATCGCTGCCAGTCGCTCTGCAGCTCCACTTCCGGATTCCTGGAAGGGAAGTTCCTCTGACTAGAGTCAACTCAGAAACGAAACTGATGAGGGGGCGGGTCCAGACAGATGAGGGAGGAAACTTGTCAAAATGCCAGAGGTTTTACACTCAGGAATCCTGACTGGAGGGCCTGGTAGGAACAGCACCCTTCCTTCAGAACAACAGCAGAGGGGACAAATTAAAATCCCATCGTGACCTTGAACAGCGTGTGGGGCAGTCACCTCGTGGGGAAGGGAGAGGCCCTTCTTGAGGCATCAGATTCACAGACAGAGGTCCCTGTTCCCATGATAACTCCTGGCATCTGCTCCACCACCACTGTCGTGGATGAGACTCTGCACCAGGCACAGCTCATCCCTAGTTGTCTTGTCAAAGGTCCAGGAAAGGAGACAAGGGACACCACAGGGGATCAACCACCCCGACACAGCAGCAGCCAGACTAAGACAAGCTCATGATAGGGTCTGTCTTGTGATCTCTACCCCTGGCACCTGCTGTGTGAAGGAGGGGATCATGCAGAGCCCAGGGCTGAGAGGGTGAGGGATGCAGAAGAGCCTTCAGAGACATGTCCCCTAAGTGGGGAGAGTCCAGTGCTTCAGGTGATGTGTGTGATGTGGTGAGACAACTAGGTGAGCAGTGAGAGCAGTGCCTGGTGGTGCTTCCCTGTTTATGGGGAGTCTAGGTTGTCAGACCTCATAGAATTGGTGTGGGTGAGATCACTGTGCAACAGGGTGGTCCCCAGGAAAGGGGGAGGTTCCCTGCCCCACCCAAGGGAGGGTGGAGCTGAGCAGGAAGGGGAGAAGCTGAAGAAGAGACTAAGGAAGGAAGCAGGATGGAGCCAGGAGACCTGGAGGAGGCACATGGAGCCTAGAGACACGTGAAGAAACTGCGCTTGTCTTTTGGTCGTAGACGGGGTGACACAGATGTGGGTGAGACCCGTGGGGAGGTGACAATGGCAGCTTTTATCTTGATGTTGATTTTGCTCTTTTCCTTCCGGGCTTGTCCGGTTGTTTGTGACCCTTTTCTGTGGGTCCCCACTGGAAGATGCTTTAGACTTGTAGCAGGCTTTGGGGCCTTGTTCTGGGCCGATCCCATATGGATGGACTTTTACCCACGAGGGGACGGGTAACTTTGGGTGCTTCATTTAGAAACTAGACTCTTTGCCTTTCCTGTATTGTTTCCTAGTTTTTATTAAAGTTCCTTCCCATTAAAGTGTCATATGTTTTGTGTTGATGCGGCGGATGGCAGAACCCATTTAGAATAGGCAGGTTTGCGGGGTTTGGGCTGCCCCTCTCCCTGTCCTATAACAACTGGAGTCCCTTAATAGGATCTGTAGTCCTAGTGATATCTTTGTGGGGAACTATCACCCCAGATACCTAAGTTGTTTTTCCTCAAGTCCTTCTGCACTCCACTCAACCAGGACTGCTGTGTCCTCCAGTTGAAAAGTGTCCCCTCCCCAGGCTATTTTGTTTCCATTACACTGATCACTGAATATTTAATTATCTTGCTTACTTTCTGCCTTCCTCACGAGCATGCAAGTCCCACAAGATCATGGGTTTGTGCTAGCATCTTTCACTGATGAATCCCCAATATCTAGTAGCTTCAGCACAGAGCTGTGAAATAACAGAATTTCTACGCTGCACTCAGCAGTATTGATGACGTGCATGCAGACTGGGTGATGTGTTGTGGTTGGGGACAAAGGAGGTGTATGATGGTGTGTGCTGCATGTAAATGATACAACTTGTGTGTGTAATGTCATGTGGTATATATGATTATTACCAAGCAAAATCCATGTTTGTCTGTGTATTAGATGTTCTGGGTTTTGTGAGCTATGTTAGAAGGGACTTTGTAGATGTGTGATGGATTCTCTGTGGTATGCCTAGTGGCTGTGTTTGTTTTGTGTGTTTATGGGGTGTGCCCACAGATTAAACTCAAAGTGGTTCCAGAAATTACCAAAATCCCTGGAAGTGACAGGTTTCCCAAAAGCTGTTCCTCACCTCCAGAAAAATAAATTTGGGAAAAAGAGCTGGGACTGGGAAAGTAGCCTCGAGGAGGATTGACCAGATCATATTACAAAAGTGATGACAGCAAGAAGAGAGTAGGATCAAAACAAGGGTGTTGGGAATTTTATGGGGACAATAACAAGATGAAAATGCATACATTTTACCAAAATGAAAAAAGATGCAAAAATATATAAATTAAAATTAAAACAAACAAGCAACCATAAACAAAAGTGATGGCAAACTGATGATTACACTAGGGGAGAAAGAGGCAAGAATTAGAGGAAGAAAGGGAGAGCACAGGATGATGGGTGTAAAATATAGCTTGGGAGGAGTCTGATAATTCAGAATGATGGTATAACAAAGGACTTCCTCCTTAGAAATCTTAGCATCCTTTGCAAACTGTGCATTCTCTCTCTCTCTCTGTCCTCTCTCTGTCTCTCAGCATAGATGACTCTTTCAGTTGAGCTTGCTCTGACGTGCAATGAGGCTGACACATGATAATTTTCCCTCACTTGCCCTGGAACAGCTGGGAATTTACTGAAAACCAACATGGGCCAGGCCCTAGCACAGAGCTCCCTGTGTGTTAATGTAATTCTCCTTAATACAATTTCTGGAGTTTGAAACATGATAATATGAATAAAAATTTTCTACAGGGCTCAAAAGCTAATTTGAGCAGGCAGAAGAATATGGTCCACCCAGGCTGAGGAGAAGAATGAAGAAAATGCAGAGAAAGGAACAGCACTTCAGAAACATGTGGGATACCATCAAATATACCTTTTTACCTAGAATGACACTCACGCAAGAAGGGCACTGGGTGAGAAATAAACAGCACTCTCTAAATTATCAATGGATGAAACAGAATATGACAGGGAAATTTAGAAAATATGGAGGCTTTGAAATGAGTGAAAATGAAAGTCAACAAATCAAACCTTAGGGGCTGCCGCAACAGCAGGGCCTAGGAGATGACAGATGTAAAAGACACTATCATAGTAAAAGCTCTTAAGTCACTAACTAAGCCTTCTTGTTCAAGAACAGAAAGACCAAATGAAAACCAAAGCAACAGCAGTCTGAGCCCAGAGGGGGAGCGGGCACCCACAGCTGGGGCAGACCAGGCACGCAGAAGAGTGTGCCTGTATCCTAATAACCATTTTAGAATAGGGACCTTCTTCAGTAAAGACTGCTTGAAACCAGCAGAAGGTTCCCAGAGGAGTCAGAAGTGAGCTGGGAAGTTCAACCAAGCCAGGCCTCTTCTGGCCAGCACTCCAAACCCAGAGGAAGAGTGGACACTCAGGGCCAGGGCAGACCAGGTGCGTGGAAGATAGTGCCTGTCTCCAAAGTGCCATTTTTGAACAGGGAACTTTCTTCAATAAAGACTGCTTGAATCTGGCAGAAGGCTCCCCGTGGAGCCAGAGGGAGAAGGTTCCCTGCGCAGTCAGAGGTGAGCTGAAGGCCCCCACAAGCCTGGTGCCACCTGGCAGGAAGTCGGAGCCCAGAGAGGGATCCAGAGATTTGGAACCCAGAGTGCAATCCAGCTGCCCCACTTCCAGAGAAGTCTGTGGGACTTCAGATGCACCTTTGTAACTAAACACAGGAGGAGAGATTCTGTGACAGTGACCATTAACATACTCAAAGTACCAGTGCCTCATTAGACTTCTGGCATAACAGTCTAAGACACATTTGGATCGCCAGTTTCTGAAACTCCTGAAAGAACACACCAAAAAGATGCCAGCCAGTACCGGTGGCACAGTGTCCCAATGCATAAGGCAAATTAGAAAACAGGCAGCAGGGAATAGAAAAACTACAAGCAAAGTAGCAACGCCTCAGAAAAAAGACACACCACAAAAAAACAAAAAACACCCACCAGCTTGCAACTACGGTGACTTGGAAGAACTTCTGAGCCTTCCAGAAAAAGAATTTAAAATTGCCGTGATGAAAAAACTGATGGAAGTCATTAAGGAAAACAATGCTCAGAAGAATGAAATTGAGTCCCTAAAGAGGGAAACGAAGGAAATGCAGGAGATCAAAGGATTAATAGAAGAGCTAAAGAATGCTGGGAAAAGCAGTGATAACAGAATAGAGGAAATGAGAGAATGAATAAGCACTCTCCAAGACACAGAAATAAAAAGAATCAAAGCAGAAAAAGAAAGAGAAGTATGAATGAAAAAGACTGAAGAAAAACTTTGAGAACTATCTGAAACCATGATGAAAGGAAATATAAGAGTTATAGGAATCCCAGAAGGAGAGGAGAGAGACGTAGGAACAGAGAAAATATTCAAGGAAATAATTGAAGAGAACTTCCCAAACGTGAAGAAGGAGCTGAAAATTGATATACAAGAAGAAGAATACCAAACTTCCATGATAAAAGGAAAAATACAGCAAGAAACATAATAGTAAAGCTCCCAAGAATCCAGGACAAGGAAAAAATAATGAAGCTGAGAAGAGAGAAGAAACAGATAACATACAAAGGAAAACCAATCAGACTGACATCAGACTTCTCTGAAGAAACACTATGGACAAGGAGAGAGTGGAGGGACATAGTCAACAGACTCCAAGAAAACAGATGCCAACCAAGAATACTCTATCCTGCAAAGTTCTCCTTGCTCTATGAAGAAAGAATAAGGACCTTCCCAGACAAACAGAAACTCTGGAATTTCAGTACGACTAAACCCCCAGTCCAAAAAATACTACAAGGAATCCTAAAGCCAGAACCTCAGAGGGACAAGTAACAACGAAAGAAGACCAAAAAAATAAAAAAATTATTAAAATAATAAATAAAATCAAAGTAAAGACAAATACAATGGCAAATAGAGATGCTAACATATCAATATTAACTCTAAATGTAAATGGACTAAATTTTTCAATAAAAAGACACAGAGTCACAGGCTGGATTAAGAAACAAAACCCAACCTTTTGCTGTCTCCAGGAAACAAATTTAGCTACAAAAGATAAAAATAGACTCAAAGTTAATGGATGGAAAACAATCCTACAAGCAAATGGACCAAAAAGAAAGCAGGAACAGCTATACTTA